CTATCTTAACCTTTTCAAGAATAGCTTTAGAATGGCCTTTATTCAGAGGTTGATTTAGTTTCACTATTAAGGGATGTGATTATTCTGTTATGTATGTTCACTAAGTGGGCAATAAATGAACAAAAGATTGTTAATTGAATAGAATTATATTTTGCAGACAGTTTAATAAAGATCACAATTGTGAACCTCTTTCTGGCAATAAGCTTAAAGGTTCAGGAAATGAAATTAGCGTTATTACAAAATGTAGAACAATACTACCTAATTAAGATAGAGAGGAAAATGTCAAGAATTCTGATGTTCAGTAGGGTATTTGGACCAAAAAAATGGAAATAATTATAAATTCATTAGTCATTCCAATGCAAAAAGTTCTGTTTTATGTAACTGAAATAACAATTTTTGCAGACATGATTATAATAATAGATGCATTTGAAATGAAACTTATTTTATTCCAAGTATGAAGTTCAGTTCATCCAGCTTTCTAAGCTTTACCAAAATACTTTCATAGAAAATTGTCTACTAGTACATTATGGTTAATTTTTCCAGTGATTTTTCTAGAAGACACAGCCTTTCTTTCTCTTTCCAACTATTCCTGCCTGATGACTATTAACTGCTGCATATATATACAAATTGTATCTATATACACTCATGTATTTTAGATAACTAGTTTAAATTGCAATAAAATTGTCCCCTGTGGTTTGCATGTATTTTACTGAACCCTGCCAGTGCAGTCTGAGTACTTATTCAATGCTTGCTAGTGGATTACTTATAGCTCCCCTACTCAAGTGATCATGTAAATCCTTCTTTCATTTTGAGAATTGTAGGTTTTGAGCACAGAAAACATTTTCATAATACCTGCATTACCTCAGTAATATGATTCTGACACTGTTTTCATTAAAACTTGCCATTTGTAAGAATGTCTATTTAAATAATTTAAAAATTCTCCCCAGGTGTAGAAGCTGTGTACCAGGCACATAGATGGAGATGACAAGCTTTTGCATTATTACTTCATTTCCTCCTAGATTTTATTGAGCTTGTGGCTTTTGATGAGAATGTACACAGCAAAACATAAGCAAGTGCAACAGTTTGTTCATGAACCGTTGTTACATTGACTTCAAGTAGTGCAACCATTTTACCTTATTTTTCTAAGTTGTATTTTTCCACTTAACAAACTCAGTTCCCTCTAATGTTTCTACCTAATCTTCTGAGTTGTTGTTGTCAATTTGATCTCCTGTTGATAATTCTTGAAAGAGTGTAATGCTCAAGACAGATACTTTTCACTGGTTAAGCCAAACTATCGTTTGGTTTTAAGAAGGGAATATTTTTGGTTTAAGGTTTAAAGATTATCTCAGGACAACCTATAGCTTAGTTTTAATAGTAAGAGCAGCTATTAGATACAGTTTCTTTCTTTCTTCTTCCTGTGTTTTTCAGAATCAATAGAAACATATTGATCCTGTACCAAGTTATCCATAAATTTTATAGATTATTTTTTTCTTGAAGTCATGAGTATATTATGGAGGAACTAGGTAAGATGATTTTGTTTTTAAGAAATCAACCTTCAACTCAGTCATCGAGTTGGTTCTGATGTGTAGTGATCCTCTGTCAAGTTTCCAGGGCGTTACATGGTAATCAGAGGAGCCTCCCCGTATTTCTCCCTCAGAGCTGCTGGTGGATTTGAACCACCTGAGACGTGAAGCCTTTGGCTTAGCGGCTCCACTGATTATGAACTAGCCACCAGAGTTCCCTAAGAGAATGTAGACTATTCTGTCTGTAAGTTTACTATTATTAATATAAAAGATATTATTTTGTATCATATTTACTGATTATGTGAGGGTGGAAAAAATACAATTTTATATGTTTTCATTTGAAATGTCACAATGGGTACAGGCATGCTGTGACCTTATTTTTGGTTTTAATCTTATTTATTTTATCATCTCACTTATTTCAGTCAAGTTGATTTTGGTTCATAGCTGGTTGTTGTTGTTGTTGTTGTTATGTGCCGTCGAGTCGCTTGCGACTCATAGTGACCCTATGTACAACAGCCCTAAACTCTGCTCTGTCCTGTGCCAATCGCACTGTCTCTGACACTCCCATCCCAATTATCCCAGTCACTGAATCAATCCACCTCATAGAGGGCCTTCCTCTCCTGCGCTGTCCCTCCACCCTCTCAAGCATGATATCCCTCTCCAGGGACCGGTCCCTCCTCACAACATGTTCAAAGTATGTTAGACGGAGCCTCAGAATCTTTGCCTCCAAGGAGCCACCCGGTTTAACCCTTTGCAGGACAAATCTGTTTGTTTTCCTAGCAGTCCATGGTATTCTCAATACTCTTCCCTAGCACCACAGCTCAAAGACATCAATTCTCCTTCTATCCTCCCTGGTCATTGTCCAACTCTCTGATGCATAACAAGTGATTGTGAAGACCATAGCCTGTATCAGACACACCTTAGTCTCCAGAGAGACACCATTGCTCTTCAGCACTTTGGAGAGGTCCCTAACAGCAGACTTTCCCATGGCAATGCGCCTTTTAATTTCCTGGCTGTTGGTGCCAAGACTGTTGACTATGGAGCCAAGCAAACTAAAGCTGTGTACAATCTCAATCTCTTCACCATCCATCCTGATGCTGCCAATTTGTCCAGTGGTGAGAATCTTTGTCTTCTTGACATTGAGCCTCAATCCATATTGTAGGCTGCAGTCCTTGACACTCTGCAGCAGGCGCTTCAGGTCCTCTTCGGTTTCAGCAAGCAGGGTTGTGTCATCCGCATAACACAGATTGTTGATAAATCGTCCACCAATCTTGACCCCACATTTCTCCTCATAGAGCCCAGCCTCCTGGATAATCTGTTCTGCGTATAGGTTGAAAAGGTATGGAGATAGGATGCATCCCTGGCATACGCCCTTCCCAATTTTGAACCATGCAGTGTTTCCTTGCTCTGTTCTGACGACTGCCTCCTGGTCCAAGTATAAGTTTTGCATTAGAACGATCAAGTGTTCTGGGATTCCCATTCTTCTCAGAGTCAGCCATAGTTTGTTATGATCTACACAGTCAAATGCCTTTGCATAGTCAATGAAACACAGATAGACATTCCTCTGGTATTTCCTGCTTTCAGCCAAGATCCATCTAACATCAGCTACAATATCTCTAGTACCACGACCCCTTCTAAACCCAGACTGGACTTCTGGTAGTTCTCTGTTGATGTGCTGTTCCAGTCGTTTTTGGATAATCTTCAGTAAAATCTTGCTTTTGAATTTTCAGAGGCTCAAAAATGGACATCTGCCATCTTTCTCCCATAGAGCAGCTGGTAAATTCACACTGCCTGCCTGTACCCACTGTCTCCCTTTTATTATGGAGAACCGAATTACTATTGACAAATATTGAGGGAATTTGAGTTTAGGAGGTATTAAGAGTCATAAATTTTGGAGAAGAGAATCATGTCATGTGAAGAGAAGCTGTCTTGACTACTTTTTTTAGAGGATTAGACTGAGGAGGGGTAAGGTCATTTAGTCTTTTCATAAGGTAGGTGTGTACTGAACCCCAGCTTTGATGGTGGATATACACAGCAAGGAGCGGGGCTACCGGAAGGCATAATTGACTTAAAAATTTTTGGTTCGATTGTTTACCAATTATACAATTCTGATGCTTCAGAAGCTACCTGGAGGGTCACCTATAAGTCAGTTCTTATTTGATGGCTATGAATTTGAGGAGGGTTTTTTTTGAGTTGATTTTCTCTGAAGACACATATTGTATGTGCTGTTGGGTTGTTGGGTGCTACAAGTCAACTGCAACTCATAGAGACCCTAAGAACAGCAGATATGTGAACCTGGCCCTGCCTTGTGCCATCTTTACCATCTCTGGTTTTCTCTTTGTTTCTATTCACCCCCCCGCCAGATTGTCTAGAGAGGATACTTTAAATGTGAACAAAGAATATAATGCCACCTAATTTCATAGTACATAAACGGAACTCATTCCTTTGGATGAGAGCTGACTTACTGCTGACCCTACCCTGAGTTGCTGAGACTGAAAATCGCTCAGGAAGAGACTGCCCATCTTTCTCCTTTGCCTTTGGGTTAGCAGCACCACTCCGCAGGAACCACAGCACCAGTCCCCTCCTCAGCATACACAGTAGATGCGGAGACTTTAAAGACAGTGCAGTATAGTCATGTACGCTTGGCCTCCATTAACCAGTCATGCATTTTGTTGCCTGCATTCCACTCAGATCACAACTCACACTAATATAAGATTGTTAATGTCTGTACACACATGCTTATTGCGGCTTTATTCACAATAGCAAAGAGTTGGAAACAACCTAAGTGCCCATCAACAAATGAATGGATAGAGAAGCTCTGGTATATTCACACAATGGAATACTACGCTACTTTGAAAAACAAGGAACTCATGCAATATTATTCAAAATGGGTGACCCTGGAGGACATTATTCTGGGTGAAATATCTCAGTCACAAAGGGACAAATATTGCATAGTGCCACTGTTGTAAAACAGGACTGACATCAGGGTTGAGGGGAGACTGAGAAAGAGGGAATAAATAATAAATAATGTATACTGCATTGAAAGAAATATATGATTAGGAATTATTATCATGACAGGAGTCCAAAATGAAGCCTGCATAGTAGAGTGGACTTGGGGGGAGGGATTGTATAACAATGAAAGACTTTTTCTTTTACTTTTCAAAGAGAAGAGTGAATTGGGGGGAGGTGTGGGCAGGAAGAAAAGTGTAACAATGAATGAATGGAAATCCAAAGTCTCTGTAATCGTTCATTTAAATTAATAATAGTAAGAAAATATTGTTAATGTCAGGCAAAGAAAGGATAGGAAAAATAATTTTCTATTTCTGTAAAGAACACTTGTATGATATTGAAAACTGACCAAAATATTAATATTTTTATAATAAACTCAGATAATAGCTATTGAAATAATGGACTCATTGCTTCCATTTCCATGGCATCTGTATATGTGTATGCTAATTTTTAAAATTATTTCCCTAGGAAACATAACTTTTGAAACAATGATGGACATTCTCCGCGATAAACCAAGTGGCATTAATATGGAAGGAGGGTTCCTGACCACTGCCAGCATGGTTTCCATTCTACCTCAGGACTCCAGTATTCCTTGCATTCACTTCTTTACAGGGACCCCTGATCCTGAGAGGTAAGGTCATAAAATACTGTAAGCTACCCAAGGGTTGTTGAAGAATACCCTGTAGACTGCCAAGAGAACAGATATGTCTTGGAAAAAGTAGAACCAGGTGCTCCTTGGAGGCAAAGATGATGAAGCTTAGTCTTACATACTTTGTTGGGTTTTGTGTGTGTGTGTTTTTAACTCCTGCCCCAGTCACTGTTATTGACAATGTGACAGCTCAGCCCACAATTCATTATTTGCCCAAAGGAACTGGGGCAGTCAGGTTTTAAATTCCTCCTCAGTACCCTGTTACCTCATGCACAATACAAAGCAAGCACAAGGCCTGGGTTGAGGTGCACATGGGGTATTTCACTCTACTCTCTCTTTCTGTACAGTCAGTGCAAGAACACAGCCTGTGGGAAGCATAAAGAAATGCTGTCTTACATACTTTGGACACATTGTTAGAAGAGGTTATTCCTTGGAAAGGGACATATGTTTGGAAAGGTGAACAGTCAGTGAAAGAGAGACCCTCAATGAGCTGGATTGACACGGTGACTGCAACAATAGGCTCAGGTGTGTCAGATGATGAGGATAGCACAGAATAGGACAGGGTTCCGAGCTACTGTTTATAGGATTGCTGTGAGTCATACTTGACCCGACAGCACCTAACAACAACCTGCCTGTGGTTATCATACCATTTGGGAATGGGTGGTCATCTTTGTTATTTGAATGAAGCAAGATTAGTGTAGGGTATACATAGACTCACAGATTACCCTATACTATATACAATATTAAAGGAACAGATTAGAAATGGGGGTGATAGATGTCAAGCCACATGAAAATTTCCAAGGGACCAGGAAACAAACTTAAGAGACAAGGCTCTTCTTCCATGGCCGATAGGGAGAAAAAGCCTTTCCCTAGAGCCAGTACCCTGAATTCAAACTTCATCTGTCCTAAACTTGAGAAATTGTGGAAGGATTGTAAGAGAATTTATCAACACTTGAATTATGCAGATGGCACAATCTTGCTTGTTAAAAGTGAAGGGGACTTGAAACACCCTCTATAGAAGATCAAAGACAACAACATTCTATGTCGATTACATCTCAAATCAAGAAAACAAAATTCCTTACCCCTTTACCAATAGACAAATTATGATAGATGGAGAAAAATTGAAATTGACAACAATTTCATTTAACTTGGACCTACAGTCAACATCCATGGTAACAGCAGCCAAGAATTCTAAAGACGTACTGCACTGGAACAATCTGCTGCCAAGGGCCTCTCCAAAGTTCCAAAGAGTGACGATGTCAGTTTAAAAACTAAGGTGCATTTGATCCAAGCCATAGTATTTTTCATGATTTGCTATGCATCTGAAAGTCTGACAGTATATTAAGACAGAAGGAAAAATGATGTCTCTGAATTGTGCTGTAGAAGAGTAGCGACTATCCCATGGAGTACAAAAGGACAAACGAGTCTGTCTTGGAGGAGGTACAACGAAGGTGCTCCTTAGAAGTAAGGATGTGAAATCAGTTTCGCATACTTTGGGCATGTTGTCAGGAGGGGCCACTCCATGGAAGACACCATGCTGGCAAAGATGGAGACCCAGAAAAAGAGACCCTGAACAAGATGAATTGACACAGTGACTGTAACAGTGGGCTGGAGCACATCAGAGATGGTGCAGATGGCACGGGAAAGGGCAATGTTCAGATCTGTTGTTCATAAGATCACTATGAATCATAGTTGACTTGATGGCACCTAAGAACCACAACAAACTTGAGGAAATACATTTGTGCTTGTTAAATCTATCCACCTGAAATGTTTCTGTCTTAGTAGCAGTAGTTAATGGAGAAACTCTCCAGGTTTGGCATCCACAATGGAAAGTGGCATATTATTTCACCAACACTGTTTATGTGCCAGGCCCTCTGTTAAGTACGTGAATACAGAACACTAAATTAAATACAGTTTCCTGCCTAGCTGATGTAGCAAGAACAAATCAGGGCTCTATGAGGAGAAATGTGGGGTCAGGATTGGTGGAAGATCTATCAATAATCTGCAATACGCAGATAATACAACCCTGCTTGCTGAAACTGAGGAGGACCTGAAGCCCTTGCTGCAGAGGGTCAAGGACTGCAGCCTCCAATATAGATTGAGGCTCAATGTCAAGAAGACAAAGATTCTCACCACTGGACCAATTGGCAGTATCAAGATGGATGGTGAAGAGATTGAGATTGTTCACAGTTTTGGTTTCCTTGGCTCCACAGTCAACACTCTCGGCACCAATAGCCAGGAAATTAAAAGGCGTATTTCCATGGGAAAGTCTGCTGTTAGGGACCTCTACAAAGTACTGAAGAGCAATGATGTCATTCTGGAGACTAAGTTGCAACTGATACTGTCTTTACAATCACTTGTTATGCATCAGAGTTGGACAATGACTAGGGAGGATAGAAGGAGAATTGATGCCTTTGAGCTTTGGTGCTGGAGAATAGTATTGAGGGTACCATGGACTGCTAGGAAAACAAACAGATTTCATCTTGGAGAGGGTTAAACTGGGCGGCTCCTTGGAGGCAAGGATTCTGAGTCTTCGTCTAACATAATTTGGACATGTTATAAGGAGGGACCAGTCCTTGGAGAGGGACAGCACAGGAGGGGAAGGCCCTCTAGGTGGATTAATTCAGTGACTGGAGTAATCAGGATGGGTGTATCAGAGACAGTGCGATTGGCACAGGATAGAGCAGAGTTTAGGGCTGTTGTACATAGGGTCGCTATGAGTCGCAAGTGACTCCACGGCACATACCAACAACAATAGAGAGAATTTTGGAAGAGATGGTAAGAAACTGCACTGCAATCCCAATGGCACACAGTTCGAATCCAGCTGCTCTGCTGGAGAAGGATGGGCAGTATCCTCTCATGAGATTTACCATCTCTGAAAACCTGCTGGAGAGTCAGCTGTGGATTGGTTCTGACTCAACGGTACTCAACATAACAAACAGAGAGAATCTCAGAAGACTTCAAATTACGTGTAATTTTTTCCTATATTATTATATGCCAAGTTAATAAAATTTCTTTCTTCTAGATCTATATTTAAACCTTTCCTATTTGTGCCAAATATTTCACAACTATTGGAAACCAGCTCACCAACATTTGAACTTGAAGATCCAGTGAAAAAGAAGTCACAACCTAGGATTAGACCTGACAGAAGACACCCACTCTACCAAAATCATCAACAGGCATTGAAAGTTAAAGAGAATGATAAGGTATGATTAGATTTTATTCTCTGCTAAATCTTTAAGAATAGCTTAAAGTATGATTCAGTCCATATTTTAAGCTGAAATTTCAGCTTTCTTTCCTTCTTTCATATAAAAATGGGCTTAAAAACAGTTTTGATGCACAGATTATAGAACTGTATAGAAGAATTTCTTGACTATGGTTGATTCCCCTAAATATAACTTTTCTATTTCTTTGTTTAATCTAGTTAGATTGGTTTTCAGTATAAACCCACTTTCATCAAGCTCTGTATCCCAGTGACTCTGTAGAAGAGAGTGGAACTGCCCACAGGGTTTCCACGACTGTAAATTCTTACAGAAGTAGACTGTCTCATCTTTCTCCTGTGGCACAGTTAGTGGGTTCCAGCCAATTCTCTAGCAGCTGAATATCTGACCATTGTACTATGAGGGCTCCTAGCTGTCAATTAATTAAAAATTTCCCAACCTCACTTTTCCCATACATAATTAATACCAGGCTTTTATTGTCTGAATATTTGGGGGTTGGTGTGTCAGAGTTGGTAAGACTGGCTCAGGACAGGAAAGGGCTCAGAGGGTCCATCGGGTCATTATACACCACAGGTGTCTCAATGGCACATAACAATAACATACTATGACAAGTTTGGAAGCAGGAGTGGCATCCACTTCCTAAATAGTTTGCCTTAGGAAACTCTATGAACTTTGATAAATGTCAATTGTTGTAGAGGGGCTTTTGGCCTTTCGTTCATAGGGTCACTATGAGTCATGCTCAACTTGAAGGCAATCAACAACAACAATATTTGTCTTTTAGGTCTCTCACTTATAGATGAATCTTCCATAGTTATTCTTGCTTTTTCTACTAAGAACAAAAAAATAGTTTGGTTTTAATTCATTAATTCAGTCTAGAGCAACGATTCTTCTCCCTCCCAAAGTAATTCTTTTTATATCTAAAGAATAAGAAGGAAGGACCTAAACCAGAAGTGGAAACTAGAATGAAAAAAAATCTTGTGTGTGTATAGAGGTGGGTTAGAAATTGGTAGTTGTTGTTAGGTGCCATTGAATCAGGTACAAACCATGGTGATTCCATGTACAACAGAATGGAAACCCATGAAATCCTGGAAGTTGGTTAGATTTGATTATGAATTTGTGTGTGTTTATTTTTGTTCTTTTTTAAATTGTTCAGGAAAAAGCCAACAAAATGATGGATGACATGAGAAAACTGGAGAAAGGACTGTTCAAAGAGATGGAAACAATCCTTGAAAACAAATGTATTGATGTGGATAAAGTTGTTAATCTCTTTTCTCAGTGTGTAAAAGATGAAATAAAAATTTACAAGTCAAATATTAATCCTTAGTGATCATATAAATGATCAACAATATTCTTCAATGCTAGATTATTTTTCTGAGTTTCTAAATTTAATTTGAGCAGATTTGATTATTCTTTAGTAGTGGGGAAGGGATAGCTTGACTGTTAAAACTATGCATAGAAATACTGAGAAAGAAAACAACATTGGAACTGGTCACACAGATCATGGGCTTGTTACTGGTTAACTTTTTTTAACCACAATAATGAGTATTTTTAAGTTACAATGACTATTTCCCCCCTAATAGTTAAATAGCCAATGTGGAAAGCAGGGAGCATCATTTATATTTATTATAATTACATAGTGCCCTCAAAGAATTTTCTTAATTATATATATTCTAAAACAAATTCTTGACGTAATGAAAATATTGTCTCAAGTAGTGAATGGTGCTTTAGGCAAGTATTAACCAGCTCTGAAATAAACACTTCCTAGATCTACACACTAAATCTTTGTCCTTTAAACAAACCCAAACCCAGATTTACTGCCATTGAGTTGATTCTGACTCATTGTAACCTTGTAGTTATTGGGTTTTTTAAAAAATAAATTTATTTTTCATTTCAATGAACATCTGCAGAGATTTTGGAATTCCATTCATTCATTGTTGCACCCTTTTCCCTGCCCCCACCCCCATGTAGTTATTGTTTTTAGGTGCCATCTCGTCAGTTACTACTCCCAGTGACCCAGTGAACCTTGCTCTATTCCATACAGCTCTCTTACGCTCAAGTCCATTGTTACACTCACTGTGTCAATCCATCTTGTTGAGAGTCTTCCTCTTTCTCTCTCTACCTTTCCCAGATGGTGTCTTTCCCCAAGGACTGGTCCCTCTTGACAACATGCCCAAAGTACGTGATAGGAAGTTACGCTATCCAGGCCTCTAAGGAGCACCTGGGTTGCACTTCTTCCAAGATAGATTTGTTCTTTTGGCAGTCCATGGAATATTCACCAATGCCACAACTCAAAGGCATCATTTCTTCTTCTGTTATAGTCTAACTAATTCTGTGAATTCACTTGTCCTAGACTCAGATATTCTTTTTATCAAGACTTGGATGACCAGTGAAATATTAGCTCTAATTATCTAACAGTTAGAGGGCCATCCCCATTCTGGGTGTTTATGTTAATACAATATTTTCAGAAGAGCTGCTTGTCTGGAAAGTTAGGAAGTAGAATAATGAAACTGAGACCTGAGTAGATAATGTTGCACCTCTAATCTGTCACACCTTTTATTCCTGTTCACGTGGGCGAAATGGGAATAGAGGGAAGACAATGAAATAGTTGTTTTAATGTATTTTTAGAAAACATTTTTCTAAATGAGCAATAATGTCTGCCAGAAGTTTACCAAAGTTGGTTAAAATGACACGAAGACTCAAAAATGCAAATGTAAACAAACAATAACCCAACTCAAAATTAAGTACTTTTTTTTTAGAAACATTCAATTTGGTATTTGATTGTATTGTTTGTCATCATTGCAATTTGGAATCTAATAAAAGAAACAAGTCATTAAGTTGAAAGAGTGCCTAAAAAGTTCTTTTTAAAATAAAAATTAAACTAGGATATACCCTAAATTGCTTTTGTCTAAGATGATTCATTTCTGTCCAGTCAGACCAACTCATCCCTGATCCTACAGTGAGTTTCCAAGGCTGTAAATTGCATGCTTTGTTCCTTAGAGCTGCTGATGGGTGTGAAGCACCAGACAGGTTTCCCTTCTGTGTTGGCAATGCAACCCTCTACATACACCACCAGTGAGACCTTGTGTCTAATACAAGGTTGCTGTTACAAAGGAAGATCTCTAACTCAAGTACTCAGTTCTGTGTTGCTTTGTATATGGCTCAGTAATAGTCTTCCCAAATCATGAAGACCTTTGCCTAACTCTCTATTTCTCTTTTAAAAATGTAAGTGAACAGTTAATTATTCCAGAGCTACACCCTTGGATCTCATTTTTGTCTCCAGTGGCAGCACATTTTCCGCTTTTCTTTTGTGACCTTCCCAGACCTAACTACCACTGTCTTTCACGCCTACCACTGTTGTAACTCCTCTCCTATCCCCATTTGTATTCTTTATTCATATGGGTTACTACAGTCAGGAAGCTATTAAAAATTACATATGAACTCTTCTTCCAAAGCTCTCTTAAAGACTCATGTTCTTAAGATAAAGTCCTAATTCTTAATCAAAATCCTTCAGAGCTGCTCCTGTCTGCATCTTATTGCCCTTCAGCCATTATATTTTAAAGTTTCAACTGAGCTTCACTTTCAAGGCCCATTATGGTTCCTTTTTCATATGCCATTCATTGTACTCCTTCCCCTCTGTGTTAACTGACCTTTAGGTGGTGACCCCTTACATGCAAAGCAGAACGTCTCTGTAGGATTTTAAAGGCTATGGCCTTTTGGAAGCTCCTGTGGAGCTGCTGAGTGGGTGTAAACCACCAGCCTTTCGATTACCAGCTAAGTTGCACCATCAAGGTCCCATGAGCATAGGAACCACATTTGTTCCTACGGCTGTGGCTCATTGTTTAACACTCTCTAGTACATGTTGTTGTGTACAATCGAGTCAGAACTGTCCCATAGGTGACCCTCCAGCGGGTTTTCAGAGGCAGTTAATCACATGAGAGGAGATTGCCCATTCTTCTACGGAGCAGCTGGTAGATTCAAACTGGGTGCCTTTGGAATTGCAGAACATTCTACCAATAGGCTCCCAGAGCTGCTAAATAAATGTGTTCCAGGACCATTCGAGTGCCAATTGAGGTAATTTACAAAGCCCTATTCCCCATCTATAGAATCTGCTAGATAGTCTATCCAAATAATTTGGATATCTTTGATAAATCTCAGGCCAACTTGTCACCTTTATCCATATTTAAAAAGGGAATAATAGCCCCAATCATTGAGCTGCTGCCGAGGACCCCCCGAGCCCTCTTGCTTCCCTATGATCCATCCCCCCCGCCCGCCTTCTCCCGCCACGGCCTTCCACAGGCCATTTCCACCGAGGAAAAGGAACCATATCATATGTCTGGTATCCAGAACCTCCACTCTTTTGACCCCTTTGATGATGCAAGTTAAGGGTGATGACCTGCTTTCTGCTGGGACTGAGGATTATATCCATATAAGAATTCAACAGAGAGGGAGCTCTGGTGGCCTAGTGGCAAGAAGTTGCATTGCAATCCCAGAGGTTTGTTGTTGTTATGTGCTGTCGAGTCGCTTGCGACTCATAGTGACCCTATGTACAACAGCCCTAAACTCCGCTCTGTCCTGTGCTAATTGCACTGTCTCTGACACTCCCATCCCAATTATCCCAGTCACTGAATCAATCCACCTCATAGAGGGCCTTCCTCTCCTGCGCTGTCCCTCTACCCTCCCAAGCATGACGTCCTTCTCCAAGGACCTCTCTCCTCACAACATGTCCAAAGTATGTTAGACGGAGCCTCAGAATCCTTGCCTCCAAGGAGCCACCCGGTTTAACCCTTTGCAGGACAAATCTGTTTGTTTTCCTAGCAGTCCATGGTATTCTCAATACTCTTCTCCAGCACCACAGCTCAAAGGCATCAATTCTCCTTCTATCTTCCTTGGTCATTGACCAACTCTCTGATGCATAACAAGTGATTGCAAAAACCATGGCCTATATCAGACGCACCTTAGTCTCCAGAGAGACACCATTGCTCTTCAGTACTTTGGAGAGGTCCCTAACAGCAGACTTTCCCATGGCAATGTGCCTTTTAATTTCCTGGCTGTTGGTGCCAAGACTGTTGACTGTGGAGCCAAGCAAGCTAAAGCTGTGTACAATCTCAATCTCTTCACCATCCATCCTGATGCTGCCAATTGGTCCAGTGGTGAGAATCTGTCTTCTTGACATTGAGCTTTAATCCATATTGTAGGCTGCAGTCCTTGACACTCTGCAGCAGGCGCTTCAAGTCTTCCTCAGTTTCAGCAAGCAGGGTTGTGTCGTCTGCATAACGCAGATTGTTGATAAATCGTCCACCAATCTTGACCCCACATTTCTCCTCATAGAGCCCAGCCTCCTGGATAATCTGTTCTGCATATAGGTTGAAAAGGTATGGAGATAGGATGCATCCCTGGCGTACGCCCTTCCCAATTTTGAACTATGCGGTGTTCCCTTGCTCTGTTCTGACAACTGCCTCCTGGTCCAAGTATAAGTTTCACATTAGAACGATCAAGTGTTCTGGGATTCCCATTCTTCCCAGAGGTATGCAGTTCAAATCCACCAGATGCTCTGCTGGAGGAGGGGCAATCTCCTCCTGTACCAGTCAGATCCAATTTGACGGTACACGCACACACAAAATAATAAAATAATAAAAGAAAATAATTCAATAGGGAAATGGCAGGAAGGCCCTTACAACTGTCCAAGGGATTGCTGATGCTTAAGATTAAAAAAAAAAACAAAAACAAAAAACAACTAGTGAAGGCGTTTAAGAAGAAGTTTGCCTGCAATGGTATTGTAATTGAGCATCCAGAATAAGGGGAAGTAATTCAGCTACAGGGTGACCAACGCAAGAACATATGCCAGTTCCTTGTAGAGACTGGACTGGCTGAGGATACCAGCTGAAGGTTCATGGGTTTTAAGTACTTGTGGCTCACTGAAGGGTACGTGAGGATTTCCTTGCAATGAGTAGAAAATTTCCCTTCTGTCCCTTGTCATAAATTTAAAACTTCACAGCTTTTATAATGAACCATTTGGGATCCACTTTTTTTTTTTTTCGGGATCCACTTTTAACTTGGACTAATGTAATTCCTTCATGCAATAAACTAAAAGAGCCATTAAAAAAAGGAATAATAATGTAAATAAAGATGAAGACTGATATAAGGATATATAAATTATTAACTAAGAAGTTTATAAGTCCTATGTGGTATTCCAGCTTTAGGTACTTATACAAGTAGCTAGTGCATTGCATAGTTTAGAACATTAGGCTTTTCTTTAATTTTATCTGTATTTTAGGAGTTAAAAAAAATAGTACCCCAAATAGTGACTGAAGACAACTTAAACTC